GTTTCAAAACGTCATGAAAACCCTTAATTGAAAGTTTCCTCTCCTAACCTTACAGAGTAAACCGGAGGCCTCAAACAGAAAACGGGACAGTACGTCATTTTCGTTAGCCGATTTCGTTTCAAATTTACGTTCATTCTTGGCCATAGTGCGCATACAAATGAAAAGCAACGTTATTTTTAAGAGAGCGGATTGCATATTTTGCCCAAATCCCCTCCTGCAAATCCCCCCCTCGAAAAAAATTATTCCTGAACGTTATTTTTGAGTGGAATTCAGGGTGATTGCACATATCTGGAGTTATAAATTACGACTTTTTATTCAGAAAATATGCAAATTAGTGAATACGGCGATTGGTCATATTTTGCTCAAATCCCCCTGCAGCTTTCAAAATACAATGCCTATCGGAAATATGATTCTTGAGCGGTATTGTTTAGCGTATTTCAGGGTGATTGCACATATTTGGAGATTTAAATTACGACTTTTTTATACAGAAAATATCAGTCCATCTTCCTGTTTTGGTAGTAATTATAGTAACGTTGAGGACCATAGTATATATACCGACGCACAACGAAATTAGAACGTAGAAATCTGAGCTGGACAAACCGGAAAACTATTTTCTACTTGTATTGCTTTGACAAACTAATGTAACCTAACCTAACCTCCCTAGGCCTGATACACGATATCTGAGGCCTAATATAGTACATATGTGTTATACTAGGCCTAGGAATATTTAAATTTGTGTTTTAGCTTCATTTATTTTAAGAATTCCTTACTAATCGTATACTATCTTGCTTTGATGCCTAAAAGAAAGCTTGGAGGGCTTGAACAATTGTAGAACGATGCCTTGAGGATAATCCTTGGGTGCCCTCGTACCACAAAGATACTTAATACTGTATGAGAAAGGAACTTATATTCCAAGCGTCACTGATCGTGTTACTGAAACTTAAGTCAAATTGGTATAAAAATTCTTAGGCTAGCTCAGCCTAGCCCTTGCACAGAAGCCCTCCATAATTTCTTTATTGAAGGTCAACATTGTTCCAAATGTATAACTAAAACGAGAACTAAACTCAGAATGTGTCAGATTTATAATTTGTACCAAGGATGACAACAACGGGACTTTCCTGCACAGTGGGAGGTTACACCCTTTTCCAACTTTAATCCATCCCTTTCCACCCAAGAAGCAAATTAGAGATCAGCCCAAGCTTTGTCTTGAGGCAAAGTTCAACGTCTTACGCCATATTGATGCTCTCTCCAGAGCATTCTCTCTCTCTCTCAAACCATATACACTGATGGTTCCCTACACCACCCCACGGGTGCAGCTGGAAGTGCAGTTGCCCTGACAATGGGTGATGACTTGTATTTTGAGTGAGGAGTCCGTATAAACAACTGGGCTTCTACCCTTCAGAAAGGGGTTGCTTTGCTATTTGAAAGTTATTTGCATTGCTTCTTGCACAAGTTAGCCAAAGAATCTGCCTTTAAAGGAGCCGTTGAGTGTAACCTTGGATTGTCAATGAGCAATCTGAGAGCAGCAGTACACCGAGAACTTCAACAAGATCTTGTAGATCTGAGGCAAAGTGAAATTGACACCAGTAATTCCATCTATCATCATACTATCATGCAAGAGGAGCCACACATCTATGGATCATCCAATAAAATCAGCAGACTTCTAGATGTTACTACTGCTCGGCTTAGACTCGGTTACAAGTATCTCTGGGAATTCTCATTATCTGCTGATGTAGACCTGACCAAATGTAAACTGTGTCAACAAAATTATTCGCACACCCTCCGTCACTATGTGATGGAGTGCGAAAAGATACGTGAATTTAGAGACAATTCTATAACCAATGTTCCAGCGATGTGTCAATATTTCATTCAAAATGATCTGCTACCAGAAATTTTAGCCAAATATCCCCAGTTTGCTAACTGTAGGTAGTAACTAAGTGATTGTAACCTATCCACCGCTGCCCACTGGATGGGGGGCGGTGTGCAGGACAAACATATAAATTTTGACACTAGCTCTCCACATATGTCAGTTGCTTAATTTAGAACCTGTACTTGAGGTCGATCTCGAACCCATTGTTGATGTGATGACTTATATTGAATTTTGTAACTAGCTCATCAAGATTGTAACTTGCTTAGCTAAATGAATTGTGGGGTTCAGTCCCTGAGCCCATTATGTGCCTCTGTAACCCTTTCCACTACCGCCCACAGGATGGGTATGGGGTGCATAATAAATGAACTAAACTAAAAAAAAAAAAAAAAACTTCTTGCACTGAAATGTGTACAAGTCTCCAAACTTGATACATTAATTGTAAGTGACTCTTTATCATCCTTAATTGCTCTCAACTCTTTAAAGACCTAACTGTAACATGCTCGTGTCTGAAGCTAGATACAAATACAACAAAATTACTTCGGGGTGATGGGTTCCTTGCCGCTGACCTGACGGATGAGGGGTGCTCCGTCTGTACCCCAAACGTCTTACGATATTTAATACCATGATTAACATAATTGTAAGTCCCCTCCCCCACTCCATGCGCGCCTTTTCTTCCATACACAGAAAATTAATGATAGTAACAGTACATTTCATGTACTTACCTAGTTGCACTTACCTAGCTAGTTGTGCTTGCGGGGGTTGAGCTCTGACTCTTTGGTCCCGTCTGTCAACTGTCAATCAACTAATGTACAGGTTCCTGAGCCTACTGGGCTCTATCATATCTATGCAGGCGATGAGTCACAATAACGTGGCTAAAGTAAGTTGACCAGATCACACACTAGAAGGTGAAGGGACGACGACGTTTCGGTCCGTCCTGGACCATTCTTAAGTCGATTGTCTATCTATCATATCTACACTTGAAGCTGTGTATGGAGTTAGCCTCCACCACATACTTCCTAATGCATTCTATTTGTCTACTACTCTGACACTGAAAAAAATTCTTTCTGACGTCTCTATGGTTCATTCGGGCACTCAATTTCCACCTGTGTCCCCTAGTGCGTGTGCCCCTTGTGTTAAATAGTCTATCTTAATCTACCCTATCAATTCCTCTGAGAATCTTGTATATGGTGATCATGTCCCCTCTAACTCTTCTGTCTCTCAGGGACGTGAGGTTTAATTCCCGTAATCTCTCCTCGTAGCTCATACCTCGCAGTTCGGGTACAGTACTAGTCTGGTGGCAAACCTTTGAACCGGATTCCGTCTCGTGTTTACCTCCAAATGCATGATAGAGCAAATAAGTTAGTCAAAGAATTTGATTTTAAAGGAAAAAATGAGTATAACCTTAAATTGCCCATAAGCAGTTTTAGAGCAATACTACACCAAGAACTACAACAAAATCTTGTGGATCCGAGGCAAAGCGAAATCAACACCAGTAATTCCATCTATTATCATACTATCATGCAAGAAGAGCCGCGGTCCCGGGACCAAAGAGTAAGAGCTCAACCCCCCCCCCCCCCCCCGCAAGCACAACTAGGTGAGTACACGTCTATGGCTCATCGAATGTTACGACTGTTCGGCTTAGACGCTGCTAAAAGTATTTCTGGGAAATGTAAACTGTTAACAAAATTACTCACACACCCTCCGTCACTTATGTGATGGAGTGCGAAAAGATTCGTGAATTCAGTCAATTCTATAATAAATGTTCAAGAGATGTGTAAATATTTTCATTCAAAATGATCTGCTAACAGAAATCTTAGCTAAATATCCCCAGTTTGCTAACTGTAGGTAGTAAACTAAGTGATAGGTGGATAGGTGATTGTAACCTATCCACCGCTGCCCACTGGATGGGGCAGGGGAGGGGGGGGGGGTACGGTGTGCTTGATAAACATATCAAATATGATTATCTCTCCACATACGTCAATTGCTTTATTTAGAAACTGTACTTAGGGTCGGTCTCGAGCCCATTGTTGATGTGACGATGTGAATTTAATTTTGTAACTAGCTCATCACGATTGTAACTTGCTTAGCTAAATGAATTTTGGAAATAAAATAAAATAAAATGAATTCCAGAGCTCATTATGTGCCTTTGTAACCCTTTCCACTACCACCCAAAGGATGGGTATGGGGTGCATAATAAACTAAACTAAACTAGCTGAACAATAGTGTGAATGGTACTCTCTCAAGGCCAGGCGTAGTACAGTGGTCAACGTTCTTGGCTCGCAATTGAGGTTCCTAAGACAGAAACAATTGGGCACGTTTCCTCTCACCTGATGCAACTGTTTACCTAGCAGTTACATAGGTATCAGGAGTTAGACAACTGTTATGGCTTGCATCTGGGGAAAGGTCAGTAGTTGGCCTTGGTGGAATGCGATAAACTAAGTATAGACTTCCTGTCCTCGACAATGGGAATTACTTAAATTTACAGACAGTTTTAGATTTTGTAGATTTTTAAGGAAAAAAATGTACAGTTAAACTTGAACGAAATATATCAAGTTGGTGCATGGTGTACACCGAGAACTTACAACGATTTGGAAATTAAGAGCATAGTAAATTTTAAACGAATTAAAACCAGTAGATTTGTTATTGTAAATATATAAATTTGACTAACGCATTTGTGACTGGAATAAGATGAATGGGATACCGCAAGGTACCATCTTGGGGCCAACCCATTTAGTTCATATACAACAGTGACAGATGAGAATATGGGTGGCGGTAGTACAGTCGGGGTCACGTTCTCGACTCACAATCTGGTTCGAATCCCGGGCGGGACAGAAATGGATGGGGGGCACATTCACCTAATGCCTCTGTTCACTTAGCCTAGCAAGTATAAGTACTCAGGAGTTAATCAGCTTGTTATCGGGTTACATCCTGGACAGGACCAGAAATCCGATTTTAGGGAGGGCGTGGGACCCCGATAAAAACCAAAACATGCATGAATACACTCTGGCTTCCTGTCCCGAGTCACAATAAATTATTATTATCATTATATTACAAGGAATGTTGCACAAATTGGTAAATGGCAAATCTTCTCGAATAATTATATAAACATAACTGAAGCTAGATTTCCTACCGGTGAATGTTGGGGGGAGGTTTTCCTTGATATCCGGGCCCTTGAGACTCCGCACCCCTAGAGTTCTTGGATGACAAGTGACACTATAGCCCCGTGACACTACAAGCCCGTGACGGGTACCGTCACAGTGACGGGTGTCAACTAGCCCGTACGTGGCGGGTACCGTCACAGTGACGGGAGTCAAAAAGCCCGTGGCAGGTCTCCATTATCACTGATGACGTCAGCAGTGAGACTGTTTTCGCCTCAGGTACTACCAACCTAATTTAATTTATTTGTATTAATACAAATTATATTTAAATATAGTTAAATTAATTATTATAGTAAAATTCTATTACCTAACATATAGTTAACTTAGTTAATATAGTTGAATTAATTAACTAAATATAGTTAAATTCATTAATAGTAAATTATATTAACTAAATATAGTTAAATTAATTCATAGTAAATTATACACTGGAGATATATAAAGTAATATATGTAAACTAACTGTAAACTATAAATAATATTAAGGGGGTATAATTAATGTAAATAACAGTAATTCGCCTTCATATAAAATTAGCAAGTTAACAAGTAAATTAATTGTAAACAAATGATAATATATTAATGACGACCACAAACGGGATAACTGAGTTAATAGTAAGCGATAACGTTGATAGCTGGCGTAATTAATTTCAGGACTGGCAGCCGAGTGCTACGGGAGACAGGTGTTGATGAACAGATGTGAACAAAATTTCCACATCTTTTTTTTTTATTAACAAGCTTAGTATACACAGCAATGTGCTGCTACTCTATTCTATATGAAAGATTACACAGTGTAGATAAAAAACTAGCTATAAGTTCATCTGATATTCCCTTTTTGCTAGCCCCCACTAGCTAGCAGTGGGGGGCTAGCTAGTAATTTGCTAGCCCACACTGCTAGCTAGTGGGGGCTAACAAAAAGGGAATAGTATATGAACTTACAGCTAGTTTTTGATCTACACTGTGTAATCTTTCATAAATTACTATGATTGTAATCTTTTACTATACTAATTAATTTAACTATATTTAAATATAATTTGTATTAATACAAATAAATTAAATTAGGCTAGCTAGTAATTTGCTAGCCCCCACTAGCAAAAACTGGGTACAGCATAAGAATATCTTCCAATATTCCTGAGTGTATGAAGTAGTTACAGAGCTCAAAGTACCTCATACCATTTGGTCTGAAGGACTAGTATAATGTTTTCTAGGTAATAATTAACCAGTTGGATTAAAAAGAGACAGGAAGGTTTACCATCATTCCCAAACATATGTTGAATATGACTTTTTATCATTCTAGTATGCCAATCATTTCTCCAGATGAGAAGGATGGGAGCTGAACCCGATTTCAGTGGTCTTCCATCACAAACAACCACGGCACGGCCGAACCCAAGAATTATAATCTTTAATAATTGTGAGGATTATTGCTTTTCGGCGAATTCCAGAGTTCTACTAGCGTACTTCACGTATTCTTGTGAGCAATAAAGGATCTCTGCACAGGATTATGTCATTCTGTTATTCTATATGAGTGGTAAGTTGGTTTCTTGGCACTCTCTCAGAAACCTTAATGTTGTGTGATCTCAATTCAGGGGGGTAGAAATAGCCTAAGCTACTCTATCCCTTTGAGATGTATTTTTTTTTCTTGTCTCAATAAACTTACTTCAACTTAATCTCAGTGCAACCGGTCTGTAGTTTGTTGCCAGTCCTTTACTACCTCCTTTGTGAAATGGATCGATATCCTCATTATAAAGGGTTTATGGGACGTCAGTTTTCGCTAAACTTTTCCTCTATATTATACCGAGGGCCCCAGCTAATGTTATTTTGTATGTATATTTCTTTATGGAAGTCAGTGGGAAATTGCTGTAATATCTGACATCTGCCTTCCTGTGTGTGGCCTAAGCTTATAAAGACGCAATCATTCTACCACTTTCGTTCTTAGTTTCCAATGCAAATTACATTCTAACCTAAACATTAAATTCATATCAGTCTCGCAGGATTTCTTTTCTTTCTTTATCGTGTTTGTTATATGTACTGTACCTTCTTTTTGTAAGTAAAGGTTCTATACTTGCAGTGATTTTTTTTCTTCTTTGTATATGTAAAAAAAAGTTTATAATTTTAATTTTATATATTTCACGGATGGCTTTTAGTATTGCTTCATTCTGGTACGAGTATTTTTCTTAGCTCTATCGCTATGAAGATTTGCCAGCCTACTTTATTCTTTACTATAGTTATCTGCGTTCTCTGTTTATCTTTGACTTTTTCTAAGCTTTATCAAAGGGACACATTCTATGGATATCGCGTATACTTCTGCATTTAACATCTCTATACATTGTTATATATATTTTTAATAGTTTTGGGATTTAGCATGGTGTAGGTTAAGTGAGGTTAGATGCTTTGGTTGTTATTGTAATAATTACCAGTATGACCAAATTTTTTTTTAAACACATTTAGGTACATCCGCATTTGTGCAGCTGCCCTAGACTATATGAAGGGGAGTACAATGTATCAAAAAGCTAGCTGCGTGATACTAAAAATCCCCATCACACAGGATGGTTAGTCATACAGAGGCATGTGATAAGAAGTCTGCACTGGCAAACTCTGTGTGCATTATGGGGATATGATATCATGAATACAAGAGTAAATAAGATAGTAAATAAGATAACAAGTCCCCCATCTCGCAGGATGGTTAGTTATAAAGTGGCCCAATAAGAGTTGTTATCATTCTTAATCAAACATAAAAGGGTGCACATGTGCTAGGTATACCTTTTTTGTAGAGTATAAAGGTAGTATACCTGTATACTCTACACCACCTACTGCACCAGATCTGACCACATGTAAACTCTCAACATAACTAATCACACACTATTCCTCACTATGTATTTGAATGTGAATAAATTCAAGAATTTAGAAATGACTATCACAGATATTCAAGAAATGTACAGGTATTATGATCAAAACGCCTAACCTATCCTAGACTTAGCTATCCACAAAACTATAATATACAGAATATGAGAAATTGCAATTTTGATTACACAATATGAAAATAATTGACGAATGAGCCTTTGAGATCAGCCACAGCCTGGACAAACATATTCCGAGGATGAGTCGTATATAAGAAGCTTAGATGTCACATAGGACACTGCGTTTGCATATACAATTATTAATACTGAGATGGTACAAACTCCCAGGCTTAGGCAATGTTTCCTGTTTAGGCTCTTACAATTAATTGTAAATATAATAAATAATAAATGACTAGCTTGTATCTTTGATTTCGTTGAGTAAATACATAAATACCAGTTTTCAAATAATCACAATTTTATCACAGCACTGTCATGGACGCAGACCTGTAGCCTACTGATGCAGACATAACAAAATTGTCGTGGACACAGACTTGTAGCCTACTGATGCAGACATCACAGTACTGAGGTGGAACCAGACTTGTAGCTACTGATGCAGACATCACAGTACTGTGGTGGAACCAGACTTGTAGCTACAGATGCAGACATCACAACGCTGTAGTGGATGCAGACATCACAACGCTGTAGTGGATGCAGACTTGTAGCCTACTGATGCAGACATCACAGTACTGTGGTGGAACCAGACTTGTCGCTACTGATGCAGACTTGTTCTGAAGCAAACATTACATCACTTGTCGACCATAAGCAGCACGTGTATCTATGGGCATACCCAATCTTGGGTAAGAGACCCGCGTGAAGCGTACTGAAGCAGTGTCCACATTATCACTTAAGTAACACTTTTTTTTCTTTTTAAATAATATACAATATAAAGATCATATTTACTCTTCAAGTTACTGGCCAGACCCAAGAGCCCATGACCTTGGCTGAGGGAAGTCAGTGTGGATAGAAGATTGGCTGGTAGAGTACAGGTGCCACGTTGATTGTAGCACAAGGCGGTTGTAGTTGGCTGGGATGATAGTGTTTGGCATGGTACTGGTACGGAGACTGAGCAGCATAGATTGGGGCTGTCAGGATGGGAGCTGAAGGTGGCGGGATGATTTTAGGGTCCCGGTACGGGTACTCACTGTCATGATATTGGTACTTGGAGCTCTCGAAGATAATTGGAGCGTACTTGATTTTTACTGGGGGATATTGAAGTTCGTCCTTTTCTTTATTTTCTGTAAAAAGTGAAAGGAATGTATTGGATATAGCGCTCGAATTATTTTAAAGATGTACGTAGATTAACATAAGTATTGAACAGTAAATAAAGAAGGGTTTAACTATCCAAGAGGAACAGGTAAATATAGAGGAGACTTAACAAGAGGTAGAAAGGCAGAAGTTACAGTTAAATAGTAAAAATGCAAATTATATTAGCCTGCAGGAAAGCGCAGAGCGTTTATAATAGGGAATTGCAAGAAAGTTGAGTACATGTAGTTGACATGGAATTCCTTTCGGCTACCGGAAAAAGCCTTGAATCATCAACAAACCCTCTTTTCAAGAACTGCAAACCATCCTCCTGTTTAGATAGTACTTTTTGCAACTATGTGGGACTATTTCATAACTACGTAACTATTAAGTACATATATTGACGTAATGGACAAATAGATAGTAGAATTTGGTACTATTTTCTTTATAAGAGTCCCGAAAAAATAAATCTAAAACCAAACTTAAATATTCAAAGGCCTAGTATAGCACAAATATGTACTACATTAGACCTCAGATATCGTGTATTAGGCCTAGGATGGTGAGGTTTTATTAGCAACATGAATACAAAGCGTTTCCGATTTATCCAAATTCAATATTTTCGTCAATATATGTACGATGGTCCTCAGTATTACTAAACGTACTACCTAAACACAGAAGATAGGCTGCATGATGAGTATGGGATTCACAATTAACAACCGATCTCTCAGGATGAGAGTGGGAGGGTGTATAATTAACTTCTGTTCACACGATGAGTATGGTGTGCATGATAAACTACCACTGGCTGGATTAATGCACAATAAACTACCGCTCCCAAAAATGGGGGGTGCAAAAGTTTGCAATAGGCGGCCACTGCTCACAACGGCCTATATGACTGACCAACCCTGCGAGATGGGGATATCTTAGCATCTTGTTGCCCTTCACACACACTATGTAACCTTTCATATAGTCTAGGGGTAGCTGCATAAATACACATGTACCTATGCTAATAAAAAATTAATAAGCGACTCTGTGTCGACCTCCATGCCAGGTCGACAAAGGAACAAGGTTGACACGGGCACCGAGGCGACCCCCGATACCAGTTCAACACGGGTACCAGGTCGACACGGCCACTGAGTCGACACGGGTACCGGGTAGACACTGGCACTGGGTCGACACGGGCACTGGGTCGACACGGGTACCGGGTCGACACGGGTACCGGGTCGACACTGGCACTGAATCGACACTGGCACTGAGTCGACACGGGCACTGGGTCGACACAGGCACTGGGTCGACACGGGCACTGGGTAGACACGGGTACCTGGTCGACACGGGCATTGGGTCGACACTGGCACTGGGTCAACACGGGCTCCGGGTCGTCACAAATCTTACCACGGTTATTCATGATGAACCACCAGTTGGCTTCCACAACGATTAGGAGACTAGTAAGGGAAGCTTGCCACACCGACTTGTGTACGCCACCGAGCCAACGTCTGAACTGTAGCCTATGCTCGTGCGTTTGTATGTATATATATACCATTTACTTATACGGGTTGCACCATGTGTGGACAGGCAGATAACGGCGGCGAACGTACATTTTCAACGAGTCGCATCATTATCAACGTTCTACCCTGTCGACTGATTAATACGAATGGCATTTAAGCAGAACAATGCACTTGAACATTACCCAGAAAAATGTACATTATGTACATATATTTTTGTAGTTTAATTCGTTCTTGACTCGCAATCAGGAATCCAGGGTCCAAATCCCGGCCGGTTCAGAAATACTTGGGCACGGTTCCTTTCACCTAATGTACCTGTTCACCTAGCAATACATAGATATGATGGGAGTTAGTCAACTGTTGTGAAATTGCATCCTGGGGAGGGTCAGTAATTCTAAGGATCCCAGCCGAAGGTTTATATATAAATACACACCCTGTTTGTTTCCCCCCACAAAATGATAAATTATGATACGAAGAACGAATAGTGTAACCGGTCTTAAATGGAATTATGAAATAAACAAATCAAAGTGAACTAATTATAGACCGTAGGAAGTATATTATAAAATGGTATATAACTAAACAATTTAATGCACCTCATGCATCTTGTGAGTGATTGTTTAGTGTGCACTCCATACTCATCCTGTGAGTGGTAGTTTAGTGTGCACCCCATACTCATCTTGTGAGTGGTAGTTTAGTGTGCACCCCATACTCATCCTGTGAGTGGTAGTTTAGTGTGCACCACATACTCATCCTGTGAATAGTAGTATATTGTATTTTTTTAAATAAAGATAAAAAAAAATAGTAATTTATTGTGCACCCCATACTCATCCTGTGAGTGGTAGTTTAGTGTGCACCCCATACTCATCCTGTGAGTAGTAGTTTATTGTGCACCCCATACTCATCCTGTGAGTGGTAGTTTAGTGTACACCCCATACTCATCCTGTGAGTGGTAGTTTAGTGTGCATCCTATACTCATCCTGTGAGTGGTAGTTTAGTGTGCACTCCATACTCATCCTGTGAGTGGTAGTTTAGTGTGCATCCTACACTCATCCTGTGAGTGGTAGTTTAGTGTGCATCTTATACTCATCCTGTGAGTGGTAGTTTAGTGTGCACCCCCATACTCATCCTGTGAGTAGTAGTTTATTGTGCACCCCATACTCATCCTGTGAATAGTAGTATATTGTGCACCCCATACTCATCCTGTGAGTGGTAGTTTAGTGTGCACCTCATACTCATCCTGTGAGTGGTAGTTTAGTGTGCATCCTATACTCATCCTGTGAGTGGTAGTTTAGTGTGCATCCTATACTCATCCTGTGAGTGGTAGTTTAGTGTGCACCCCATACTCATTCTGTGAGTGGTAGTTTAGTGTGCACCCCATACTCATCCTGTGAGTAGTAGTTTAGTGTGCACCCCATACTCATCCTGTGAGTGGTAGTTTAGTGTGCATCCTATACTCATCCTGTGAGCGGTTGTTTTTACCTGTCTGCTTCATTCTTTATTTCAGTTATCTGCGTTCTGTTTATCTTTGACTTTTTCTAATCTTTAACAAAGGGACACATTCTATGGATATCGTGTATGCTTCTGCATTTAACATCTCTATACATTATATTGAAGTTGGAGGTTTCATAGCTGTCTCCTAGGTAATGCGTGTTAATTCTAACATTGTTTTGTCCCAGTCAATATCCCGATTGCTGAAATTAAACTGATTAAATGCCCCATTTAGACGCCATTAAAAAAGTGACGCCGACTAATTTCAACATATCATGAGGCTACACACGTTCAAGTCGTGGGTCTCTGAGAGCTTATCTGTAAATAGTTTCGTGTTGTGTAATCAACAAAGGTATTTCCTAAATATACATTGTTATATATATTTATTAGTTTTGGGATTTAGCTTGGTATAGGTTAAGTGAGGTTAGATGCTTTGGTTCGGATGGCAATAATTACCAATATGACCAAAACGCCTAACCTAACCTATCCTAGACTTAACTATCCACAAAAGTATATGTGAAAAATTGCATTTTTTTTATTACACAGTATGAAAATAATTGACGGATGAGCCTTTCGGATATTTTGTAAAGCTAGTTACCAATTTTTTTAAAACACACATACACACTTTTTGTTTTCAGTGTCAGCGTAGTTAACAGATGGAATGCATTAGGCAGTGATGTGGTGGAGGCTGACTCCATACACAGTTTCAAATGCAGATATGATAGAGCCCAATAAACTCAGGAATCTGCACACCAGTTGAGAGGCAGGACCGTGTGTGGGTAGAGGAAGACGTCAAAGCTGGAAGTTGTGGCCCAAGCATCAACAAGCTCATTTGCTCTGTGCAGAGGATTAGGGTGCGTGATTTCTGCAGCATTTTTCCCTTTGATCTTGTTGATATCCTTCCATGCCCGACTTAGTGGCGTGTGAGACTTGAGACCACTGACAAAAGTTTCCCAGTCTGTCTGTCTCAGCTCTACCAGTAGAGCTGAGACAGACAGACTGGGAAACTTTTGTCAGTGGTCTCAAGTCTCACACGCCACTAAGTCGGGCATGGAAGGATATCAACAAGATCAAAGGGAAAAATGCTGCAGAAATCACGCACCCTAATCCTCTGCACAGAGCAAATGAGCTTGTTGATGCTTGGGCCACAACTTCCAGCTTTGACAGTCTTCCTCTACCCACACAGAATGAATTAAATAATAGATATACTGATAGGGCTAGGCTCCTTGACTTCATGCTTCATCAAGAGGATGACTGTGACATGCTTTTTACTGAATACGAACTAGACTCTGCTCTACATAAAGGCAAAGCTACATCACCCGGGGAGGATGGAATTACTTACGGCACACTGCATATGTTTCTGCTAGTTCCAGGGAATCCCTTGCTTCAATTGTATAATATGAGCTATGTAACTGGGGAGCTTCCAAAGTCATGGACCAACAGTCTTATTATTCCCATTCCTAAACCAAACCTGCAGAGTGTTTTTCGCCCAATCTCCCTCACTAGTTGTCTCTGTAAGTGTCTTGAGAGGATGGTTCTCAACCGTCTCCTTTACAGAATTAGTAACATGTTGTCTCCCCCAGATATATGGCTTTACGCATGGAAAGAGTGTACATCACTGTATTACCACATTCCTCACCCTGCATACTGATAGGTCATATACCACTTTCCTAGATCTTAAGTCAGCCTTTGACATTGCTAACCCACACGTCATTCTAAGTGAACTTGCTAAAATGAATGTTGGAGGATGGCTTCTACGGTGGATAAGAGGCTATGATGACTGGAGGTACATGGAGGCACTGGAGGTACATGGACTGGAGGTACGTGGAGGCTGGATAAGAGGTACAGATGACAGGAAGTCATCTGTACTGTTTCAAGGGCATAGTAGTGTAACGAGAGATTTTGAACTTGGCACTCCACAGGGAGGTGTCCTCAGTCCTACTCTGTTCAATGTGTTAATCAATGCGCTCCTAAACTCAGTAACTAGGCGGCCCAGCGAACACATCATTAGCTATGCGGATGATATACTGATCCACACCAATGGGTATACCAACACCCAAAATGTCCTGAACTCTGTATTGCACACATGTTAGGAACTAGGCTTGGTCATCTCAGTAGAGAAAACAAAGATCCTGAACCGACGTCCACCCAGACGAGGTGGGGCCGTTCGCAAAATGCCGTTGCATGATGGCTCTCTGCTGGACTATGTAACCAGATACAAATACCTTGGTCTTGAAGTTCCACTGTACCGCAATGTTGTAGCCAGACTGGGTCGCCAATGTAGAGAGAGGCTCCGTGCTCTCAAGGCTGTGGCAGGCTACCGTCCAAGCTATGGTGCAAATGTGAGAATTGTTAAAATGATGTATCTCTCATATATTAGGTCACTGATTGATTATGCTGCACCCATGCTTGCCCTAGTGCCTGAGAGAATGCTTGAAGGGCTGGAAAAGATGCAAAACGAAGCCATGACGATAATCCTCGGATGCCCCCGTACAACTAAATTACTAAACATGAGGAAGGAACTGAATATTTCATGTGTAAGTGATCGTATCACTAAAATTAATGCTTTAATTGGTATCAAGATGCTTAGGCTACCCCACCCTAACCCCTGCACTGAAGCCCTCCAAGCCTTCTTCCTTGAAGATCAGCATCCCTCCAAATGGATTACCGTAACTGCCAATGTGCTCAGAATGTATAACTTTCATCACCCCTACCAAGAGAGACAACAACAACACTTTCCTGCCCCATGGGAGATCACTCCTTTCCAAATTACTGTCCCCCCTTTCCCACCCAAGAAGCTGATTAAAGAACAAGCTTTGCTTCGACAAGAAGCAAAGTACAATGACTTAAGCCAAAGTGATACTGTAGTCAGAGAGCGCTCCATTTCCCAGATTATTTACACTGATGGATCCTTGCACCAGTCCTATGGTGCAGCTGGAAGTGCAGTTGTTGTGACAGGGAGAGATGGTTCCTTCTCCCATGAGTGTGGAGCGCGTATAAGTAACTGGGCCTCCACTCTTCAAACAGAATTGGTTGCCATAATCCTTGCACTCGAGCGCATATATGAATCCAAAGTTGACACGCTAATTGTAAGTGACTCCTTGTCATCCATGACTGCCCTCAGCTCCCTAAGGCATAACTGTGACATGCTTATCTCTGAAGCAAGACACAGATGCAATGAAATAATCAATGATGGAGTCAGAGTTTGTCTCCTGTGGATTCCTTCCCATATTGGTCTCCGAATGCATAATAGAACTGATGAGTTGGCTAAGGCTTTTGCTCGTAAAGAGTTAATTGATTACCAACTTGGACTGCCTTTGAGCAGCCTGAGGGCAGCAATATCCCAGGAACATCAACTAAATTTCGGAGACTTGAGGCAAAGTGAAATTCACACCTGTTACTCCATCTATCATCATTCTATTATGCAGGAAGAACCGCACGTCTATGGGTCATCCAATCATGTTATCAGACTTCTAGATGTTACCACTGCTAGGCTTAGGCTCGGCTACTAGTGCCTCTGGGAGCCTGCACCACTTGCTGGCGTTAACGTGAC